AGGGAGGGAGGGAGGGAGGAGGCAGGAGAAAAAATGAGCTGATACCAAGGGCTCAAGTAGTAAGAAAATGTTTTGAAAATGATGCTGGTACAAATGTGCTTTACACAATGGATGGATGGATGAATTATGATGAGTTGTACGAGCCCCCAATAAAATGATTTATGAAAAAAATGTATAGCGTTAGATGGGCAGTTTGTCAAGAAACAGTAGCTTCACATTTTGATATTTTTGTTTAATAAATATCAATTATGTATCCTATGACTTTATAGCAGTATTTTATGACTTACCCTGTTACTTTAGGTATTGGACGGCTATAGATTATATTACTTTACTCCCTAATTTTTTTCCCGGTTTGCAAGCTTCATTTTATTCTTGTGAGAAAGTCCTTGGATGAACATATTTACCTTTCACGAGGGCCCAGCTACCTGTGTGGTGCTGCCCGTGCCTTTGTTATTGTGTTTGATAATCTATCATGGAGAACAAATTAAGGCCCACAGCTTTGCTCCTCTATTTTCTTCTAAGAGCTTTATGGCTTTGGATTTGACATTTTTAGTTAGGTTTGTGTATGCCCTGCTCTTGCTTCATTTACCTACAAGTAGAAATCCAGTTTTACCAGCACTGCTTGCTGAAGCATCACTTAAGAAAAATTTTTTTCCTCATTTTTTTTGAGATTGCTTAGTCAATCTAAATAGAAGATATGCTCATTTACTAGTGAATTTAAGTTGGATTGCCTCTAAGATAGTTGCTAAACTTAGTATCTGAGGGAGCTTCAAAAAAGCTCATGGAAAATGGATTCAAGATAATGGAATTTCCCATGAAACGTTTGAAGCCCCTCTGCACATGTGAGGTCAGAAGAGGCAAAATATTTATGCCACACGAGTCCTCATTTGTAAACCACTTTGAAGAGCAGATCCCGGATACATTCCAGAAAATCTTGTAACTTTTATTTTTCCTAAAACTGGTTAAGGGAAACCATTCATTCAATTCTGGCAGACTCCAATTCAGCGTAGTGAACAAACAACTGTAAAAGGTATTAAATGTTCCTTACGCAGCGCCTATACCCAAGAAACCAAATTCAAGGGCAAAATGGCTGCAATAGAATTTAATTTATGCCTTTTTTGACACCACATTCACAAGTTTCCGAAAGTGAATGGGCAACACAAAGGCCTACTATTTTTAATATTACAAAATTACTGTGTACCTCTGGTTAAAGATAGCAGACTGAGTGTAAATATCAACCTCCTCTCCCTTCACAAATTATAGGAACTATTGTAAAGATATAAAGCAAACATAAAAATCCATGACAAGAACAGAAACTTACATAGGGAAGCGGAGATGTGAGTAATGCTTAGAAGCACAACATATTAAAAATAAAAAGCTTCATCAGAGAATACCATGCATGACGCCTATTTTATGGCTTTATATCCATGTTTTTAAAATGCAGAGAAAAGGGTCTAACAGGTCAGGTACCAAATGTCATAGCTGTTCCCTGGGGAGGAGAATGGGTTTAGGGTAATGGTCTAAAGGAAATCCTACTTTTTATTAATAGACCTCAAGGGCATATTTCTCCTGGTGATTTTGCTACAAGGTGTTGCAGTGTGTCCTTGGAAAGCCTCCCGTTGAATATAAGCACTCACTGCAATACTCAGGCTTCTGCTTCACATAAAAACAGACACAGGAGTAAGAACAGACCTAATCAACTTTGGGACCCAAGGACTAGTGAAAACAACGATTCTAATAAAAGCACAGCTAAACAGATATGGCAATTTCATAATAAATAATACTGAGTACTAGGATCTTATTTTTAAAAGGGTAGGTAAAGGGCAAAGGGAATTTACTGGGAGAGTATATAAAAGAGGTTTCTGAGTTACAGAAACAAAAGAAAAATTTTAAAGATTCAGGAGAACTGTAAATTAAGTACATCTAAAATAAAGTACATGACCAAATGGAATTCAATGGAAGAACAAAGTAAAAACAAGGTATAAATGGCTCCTGAGGGCAGTAATACATTTCGCTGTCACTTGCTGAGCTCAACTGTGTCACCAGTGCAGCTTCAGCTGCTGGTAGTTGGTGAGGCAAAACATCCTCAGGCTGTGCAACACTCCGTAGAAACCGCTCTACTCACCACATTGATAGGAAATGCACAACAATCGAACAGACCACACTCATAACTGTCTACTGTAAACTTAAAATATACCCCAAGTTGTACAAAACCCAGAGGCCTAAAAGAATACAGAATTAAAGTAATTACACACACAGGGTGAGGATTTGTTCTAAGAACAGGACAACGGCTGCACACATTGACAATTAAACAAAAGCTATCTTTTAATACTCATACAGGACTGAGAGATTAAAAATGGCCACGTCCATTTGGATCAGTGTCACCCTATCCCTTCTCTCCCACACCTGTGACAGGCATCACCCATCATCAGCCAAGGCACTGAACTCGTGAACTCAGACAGTCTCAAAGTTCTCAACAGTCTAATCCAATGTTCCTCAAACCTTAAAAGACTTCAAAAACCATCTGGGACCTCGTTACAATTCAGATTCTGTTGTAAGGAGGTCTGGAGTGGGCTTACGATTCTGGATTTCTCACAAACTCCCAGATGATGCTGATGTTGGTCTGAAGGTCATGTAAATAAGGTTCTAGATGACCGAATGTCAAGTTCAGAAAATAAAACCTCTTAATTTTGAGCAAGACATATTTCAAGGACTATTCAGGGAGAGCATTCTCTAGTTAGGACTTTAGAGAAAGAAACGGTCAAGAAAAAGTGGATTTTTGACATAATTTTTATGTTTACATGTCATTTAGATGTTCTCTTCTGTAGACATCCTACTCATATTTGCTTTTAGGGGACGAAGGCCTTTCTATTGTTCCTTACTGATGCATAACCATGCTTTATATATTCAGGTAAACAATCCTTTACATACTCTTGTGACAAATCTGTTATTTAGGATGTACATATTTGGCTTGTTTTCAGATGTTATAAACTGGTAAGTACAGACAGAGATATAAAAGAAACCAGGGAAGATAAAAAGCTAACTATGATCCAATTTTTATTAAAAAAAACAAAACACTACAACATTGCATAGCTTGAGGATAAGCTGGGAACTGCTATTAAAGTAATGAAAAATAACCAGGATTTATCAATGAAGTGAAGTTATTAAAATATTTTAGAGCAAAAAAATGTCAAGTAATAGTAACATGGCTTAAGTGATCAAAAGGTTTGTTTCTGGAAGAACTGTGCAAGCTTGAAGACAAATACTGAGGCAGAGTTTTGATTTTATATTCAATGCAACAAACACAACTTTAAGAATTAAAAGCAACGCAGCAGTAACTTTAACTTACATATATCTGGAGGTGCCGTGGCCACATGAGACTCATCAGAACCGGAAGACCCTGCAGTTGAAAAGGCTTTGGGACTGGCCACTCTTTTAACTAAAGAGTAAAATCCTGGGAGGTAGGAAACCAGCCTGGCTCTGTTACAGAGCATCTAGAAATGACACAACACACACGTGTAAAAAACAACCCAAAACAAGTTACTCAATTACTTCGGGTTTTAAAAAAAAAGTCTTTTGCAATTAAGGCCAGAATTCAAGAGTGTCACATATGAGGTGGGATGGGAGTCTCTAAAAATTAACCTATTTAGCAACAAGACTAAAAGGGAAGCAAAGCTAGCCAGAGTCTATAGAGTATGGGCACAAATCCACTTTCTTTCTACCTGCTAATTACTCCCATGCGATACTTCCCTCTTGGTTTTGAGGTACTGGCTTGTTTTCATTTCAGCACATACTTTCATGACTCATGTTTTGTCAGATTTTCATTCCCCAGACTGAGATCAGTTGCAAGGATGAATATATTTATCTTTATCTTTGATGAATAAGCTTTGGGAAAAATACTTGGGTCACAATGGGTTAAGGGAGGATGGACAGAGTAGCTTTACAAATAGTTCTATGGGAATACCACACCGATTCCCTTACACCAGTGGTTCTCAACCTGTGGGTCGCCACCCCTTTGGGGGGTCAAACGACCGTTGCACAGGGGTCGCCCGATTCATAACAGGAGCAAAATGAGAGTTATGAAGTAGCAATGAAAATAATTTTATGGTTGGGGGGGTGTCCCATATTGTTTGTACTATTTTATGCTACTGCAAGATCATTCTATTGAAATGCTTTCCCCCCCTCCCGTTGCTGATATTAAACCCATTGCCATTTAGTAGATTTCATCTCCCAATGATTGTCGGACATCCGTCCCTTTGGGTTTCCAAGGTTGTAAACCTTTAGGGGAACAGAAAGTCTCATCTGTCACCCAGAGTGACTTGTGGATTCAAACTGCTGACATTTTGGTTAGCAGCTTAATGTATAACCCACCAGGGCTCCTTTCAAGCCAGTTCCAACTCACAGGGACCCTATGCATAGGACAACCAAACACTGCTGGGTCTCCACCACCCTCACAAATTGCTGTTTGAGTCCATTATAGCAACCACAGGATCAGTACATTTAGTTGGGAGCTTTCCTTTTTCAGTGACCCTCTACTTCAGCAAGCAGGAAGTCTTTCTCCGGGACTGATCTCTCCTTATAACATGCCCAAAGTATGTGAGCAAAGTCTCACCACCTCTGTTTCTAAGACATCTGTTCATTTTTCTACCAATCCATGATATAGTCAATATTCTTTGCCAACATCATAATTCAAAGACAGCAATTCTTCTTTGGTCTTCCTTATTCATTGTCCAGTTTCCACGTGTATTTGAGACTACTGAAAATATCATGGCTTGGATCAGGTCCATTTAAGTTCCTATGTGTTATCTTTGCTTTTAAAAATGTCGTTTGCAGTATTATTCTGCTAAAATGCTTATTGCTTAGAAGATCCCGACTTGTCTCCAAAACCAAACAAACTGTTGCCATTGAGTCGATTCCAGTTCAGGGCAGTCCCACAGAGCTGCCTCTGTGCGTTTCCGAGACGGCAAATCTTCACAGGAGTAGGAAGCCTCACCTTTCTCCTCTGTAGAGGCTGGTGGTTTTGAATTGCTGATCTTGTGGTTAGCAGCCCAAACCGTAACACATTATGCCACCAGAGGTAAATATAACCTTTGTGAGGTGTCTCCAAAGCACAAGACTGATAGTCACAGCATTCGGCCCACAGTAAGATCTAAGCATCTTTCCTACCTTGGAGTCTATAGCACCCAACTTACCCAAAGAAGGCAAAGACACAAGTTGTTACCTACTAGGCAAACTCAGAACTTTGGAGTGCTTCTATAATATAAATTATAGGCATAATAAGACATAATAAACCAAACCTACTGCCATCATGTTATTACAACTCATTGGGGGCTCTATATAAGGTTTCCTAAGGTGTCTCTTTACAGGAGAGTGTAATAGCCTCATTTTTCTCCGAAGGAGTGGCTGGTGGGTTTGAACCACTGAGTATGCAATTAGGAGTTCAATGTTTACCCAATGTGCTACCAGGGCTCCTTAAAGATGTAAGAGATGATACTCTGAAGTAGGAAATATTCACATAAAGGCACATAAAGGTAAATAATCAATAGATGTAAACTACTATGTGCCAGGGCTTATGCTAAGTGTTTTACATGTATTGTTTAATTTAATTCTCTAAGGATTCTATGTACTATTAACACTAGTTTTAATTATGTTTTTCAATCCTTTATATTCCTTCATATTGCTTCAAAACCAAAAAGTAAAAGGGAGATTATCTACATTATTTTAGAAATCACTTTAATGTTGCACATGTTTATTTTAGTATCTGAGTACCAAGGACCAAGATTGTATTTTTTTAAAAAAGGTTATTTATGGTAGAACAGATTTATACACAATTAGCAACTTTAAAAAAATTGCCCATTCTTGCCCAATTTCAGACTGTGGGCACTGCAGCTTGCAGCCCAGCGTGACACCACAACTCCCCACCAAGGGTCCTCTCTTCATACAGGAAATGGCTAAGAGTTTCCATTTAGAATCCATACATTCCCTTAGTAGGTAGGGCTGTTGCTGGCATTTTTTTTAAAGGAATTATAATGGCAACATGCAAAAGTGGCAGATAATTTAAATCTTTGTCTGACAGCACACCTGTGTTTTGGGATCTCAGCTCAGAGTCCTTCTTTTCCAAGGCCTAACGGGTGCCATCCCTGAGAGCAGAATCCCACCGGCGCCTGCAGGGGACAGAGCTCCACGCAGAGCAAGGGAACGGCTGTGCCGCCAAGACGAGGAAGCCAGTCAAAAAGAACTTTAAATGCAATGTTTTGGGATGTTCCCTGAGTTATGGATACGCTTTATAGTATCTATTAGTGCAGTCCATCAGTCTTAATTGTACTTATAAATGACTAAGATTCTATTTCGATCATCTTTTTCCTGATGTAAAAAACTTTATACAGAAATCATAAAACATAATGTGAGTTTTATTCTCAGTCTAAGGACAACCAATTATTGTTGGATTTCAGTAACAAAACGTATACTCATTCCTAAGGGGATCGTGGACAGCAGTAATCATTGGATTTAACCCTCCTTTAAACTGTGGTGTTGACAGCTCTTGGTAAGTGGGTTCTCACAGTGATTCTATGTGTATATATATATAAAACAGGGTAGAATGTTGTCCAATCCTGAACCATTTTAGTAGTATATTTGAGGCAACTTGAACTTTTAAGACTTCAAATCCTTTACTGTGAAAAGGAATATTTTGTGCACACAACAAGTCAGCTAGTAAATATAGCTAAATGTAAATAAACAGCTCATAAATTAGAACCATTCGTTTATTTTAAGAAGAAGCATGTATTTTATATGGTATGACTAACTTCAAGTCAACCTAGGATTCTAAAACTGGGAATATAACAGGCTACTAAGATTTAATTGGAAAATCCACAGCAGGCTATAAAGAAGCCCAGCCTCTCAGGCAGTCTCAGGACGGAATTGTTTTGGCCACGGGAGAAGGAAAGTTTGTGTCACATATTCCACACCTTTGAGTCTAAGGACTTCATTTACATCTACCCTGTGACATTTCTGAGTGGCCCACACAGTTTAAAAAATTTGAACTGGATACCAGTGTTAAGAAATCAGGAGGTTTCCCCTATAAGGTTCAGACTTTTAGCTTCCTTGAAAATGCATTGGATGTGGCAGCGCTGGACACACATCCCCAAATTCCATTAGTAAGAGTTTTATCTACTTCCTGTATATTAGAAATGCATTTTTGTAGCTCATATTCTCCACCAAAGCCACTTAACTTACTCTTCCTAATCCCTGAAAGCACTATGTCGGGCTGCTAACTACTAGGCCAGCAGTTTAAAGCCACCAGCTGCTCTGTGGGAGAAAGATGAAGCTGCCTGTCCTGTAGAGTCACAGTTTGGGAAACTTAATATAGCCTCTGTAAGAGGTGGAAGTGACCTGATAACCATGGGCGTAGAATCCCTAATACATAAGCATGTATGAACTTGCTATGTATATTACCCAGATCACTGAAGACACAATGATCTACTTCATTACAAACATCCACTCAGAATTTAAAATACATATAATTTTAAATTACTTTGAATATAACATTTAAATATATTTGAATGCATATTTTCTTCAAACAATAATTTATAAAAGTTTCTCTCAAAGTGTCCACCCCGCTGGACATTTACTCAAACTCATTCTATTCTCACGAAGGCTTCCTGTTGTGACAGTACCCCGATTTCGGCAAAATCCCCTTCCTGTCCAGGTTGTGGCTAGGTAAATTCACCTAAAACATGGCCAACCCTGGGTGACTCTGAGGCTTGTTGCTAGTCATTCCTTTAGATTTAAGCTTCACACAGTGTCACCCTGGATAATTGTTACCATAATACTCTCTCGAATGGTAAACTATGACGAAGGTGTATTCTTGGGCAAATTCCTCAATGACTCATTTCCATTTAAAGACAAAGGTTAAAACGCTGAGTTTGACAGTCAAGGCTGTCTAACTTGTCCCAACTTAAAAAAGTATCTCCCACTAATCTTCACACATCTTACACACAAGCAGGGAGAAACGCTATGCAGACTTTTGAGAGTGCTTTCATCATAACCCCTCTGCCCCCACAAACCACAGCTACTTAAATCCTACTGAGCTTTCAAAATTCCAGTTAGGCGAGATTCTCAGGCTCCTGGTTAACCCTCTTCACAAAATGCCCTGAACCTGTTCGACCAACCGCACCCAAGAGGCTGTGCCACCCACACCACCCAACGTCGTCGCCCTTCCACGTCCTAACAAGCTCCCAACCTTCATGACGACTCAATTGACTCACCTTGGCCATGTCTAGCAGAGAGGGCAGCCGCAAAACAGCTCTCCTTTTGAAAAGTTATCCCTGGGAAAGGACAAAGCAGGCCAGCATTAAGCTCCAACCCCGGGGACCCGCGCTCAGCCCAGGCCCGAGCCCCGTCCCGGACCCAGCCTTCCCGGTGCACTGCTGGACACGGACGCGGGGGGCAGCCCCAAGGAGCCCTCCCGGTTTCCGCCCGGCTGGAGAGGGGTGCACGGCTAAGACGGAGGCTTCCGGGGGTCCAAGCAAATCTTTAAACTTGTAACAGCCCGAAGAAACGTTTCAGGAGGATCCGCGGCCGAGGAAACCAAAACTTGCCTACAGCCAGAACGCCAGGATGGTTGCGGGGCGGCGAGCGGAGCCCGGGGGGAGCAGGGCCACCCCCGAGAGCTGCAGCCCGAAGGCGGGCGAGTTTGGTGGGGCTAGCGCGGGCGGGAATCATCCGTACCAGTCACCGCCGCCGCCTCCCGAGCGCCTTCCTGCCTGCCGCTTCCCGTCGCCAAAATGGCGGCAGTGATTGCAGCAGCGACCGAGCGGGATCCAGCCAGGCCGAGGAAGTGCTCGCGGAGCACATCGATGAGCAGCCGCGGCGGACGGACGGTGCGCATGCGCATCGTAAATGTCCACGGTCCCAGCCTTCGAGTGGATAATCCCGGGCACAGACGGCGGGGAGAGGCGGAAGTGTGGCACTGGATTGGGAGCGGGATGCCGAGCCTCCCGCTGTGTGTTGCGGCTCGTTTGGTTTCCTTGGTGGAAGTTAGTAGACCCTTATAGGAACTTTCCTCCCCTCACAAACATGTCTTATTGTGCCCGGGGGATATAGTAATACTGTTCTTTGTATCCCCTGCGCCCGCCGCAGTACCATGTTCAATAGTATATGAGCGGTTTCTTTATATAAATGACCAGCCATTTTTCTCGGTTTAAGAAAACTACCAGTCCTCGGTTTTCCTTTGTAGTGCCTTAGAGTTTACATTCTGAGCACCCGAGTCTGCAGAAGTTTCTGGATCGACAGTGACAGCCCCACATCTATTTGCAGGGTCCCCACTTAGATTGAGCCTCCACTGAATTCCTTCTGATCTTTAACCAAGAATGTAGATTATCTAGGAGCTCTGGTGGCAGAGCGGTTACAAGTTGGGCTGCTAATTACAAGGCAGGTAGTTAGAAAAGAGCCGCTGCTTCTCGGGAGGACTTCTGACATCCATAAAGAGTTACAGTCTGGGAAACTCAGGAACAGTTCTACCCTGCCCCATAGGGTACGACTGACAGTTGACATCTCCAAAGCAGCGAGTTTGGTTTGGGTGGACTGTTTTACCCTCAGGGAGAGTGCATTGCACAGTGGATCACCTGCACCCAGCTCCAGCCAGCCCTGGTGTGCCAGACCCAAACTCCCTGCCATCGAGCCCATTCTGGCTCATAACGACCCTATAGGACAGGGTAGAACTGCCCCTGTGGGTTTTGAGATGAACTCCTTACGAGAGTAGAGGGGACCGTACTTCCAGGGACTATAGAGAAGCTTGAATAGCCATGCTCTGACTGCTTGGTGGGAAGGACCTGGACCAATCTTGGCCTTTCTATCTAATAATGTGCAAATCAGGGGCAAAACAGGCAAGTTTCTTCAAGGCTTGACTGCCCCTCCTGGGAATGGCATGGGGAGTAGCTGCAATTTCCTGTCTAATGCACTCTGTTGGAAGTAAATGATGAGAAAGTGTTCAATGCATGCTAAATCTCTGGGGAGACTCAAATGGATGTAAGGCTTAGCCTTAATGCTCAGATGCTCAGTACCTAAAATCCTTTCTCTGGTACAAGATCCCATTAAGTATATCATATTACATTTACTTATAGGAGCTTTCAGACCGGTATTTCCTGGAACTTTCTCGATTTTGATAGCTAGATTGTTTTGAAGTGTGCTGGTCAAGTGTTTTATAGAATGTGCCCCAAATGAGATATTCCTGATCTCTGACTCATGATTATGTTGAGCCTCTGGGTTCTCTGCCTTCCCCCCTCATAGGTCAAAAAAGACAAGTGTCCTTTTCCTGACATCCTGTCAAAGTTGTGTACTACCGCAGGCTGCGTGGTTGTTGGGTAATCCTGATCATCTGAATGGCCCGATGTTTGCCAGCTTGCCTTCTTTTGGAATATTCTCCTGCCCCCAGGACTGGACTCTTATGGTCGACCCACGCAACGTAAAATTTAAGATATTTTGAATTTTCTATGAGAAAGTTGCCTATTTGTCTCCGTTTCTTTCTATATTCAGTTTCCTACATCAGTGTGGGCTCATATATACATATTTTATTATTTGAATTATGACAATATAAGCTTATAAAGTTCTAAAATATAAAGTATATACATTTTACTATAAAATATGATACATTTTAAACTTTTTTCACTTTATACTATACTGTACTTGTACTTTACTATACTTTTTATTTTATACCATATGATAAAATATACAATTGTTATAAAATATAACTTTATTGCTGAAATTGCCCCAGCAATGGCCCTGTGAAGCTCTTCCTGATGACACCTGTACCCCTTTTTAAAATAAATCCCTTCTTCGGAAATGTACCAGGCTCATCTTTCCTATTCTCTGTCCTCATTCGAGGGTCAGCCATTTTGCCAAGGAGTCCAGGTTAATTTTATTGGTGAGAAGTCTTAGAAACCTAAATATGGGTGTTTGATGTGCTATTGCTTTCTTGATAGAAATTCCTCTCTTTGGATTTATGTAAGCATCAAAGGTTTTGCTTCTGTAGAGAACCTGGCCTCACACAGGAAGAAAGAAAGAAGGGGTGAAGAGAAGGAGGGAGGGAGGGGAGAGCAGGCAAGCTGTGATGAGACCAGGGTTAGGGGCCTAGGCAGGGCTCTCTGAGAGCACATACAGGCAAACCTAGCACAGCAGAGAGGTCACAGGAGGCTCTGACAGAGCTGCATGTTGAATTTATTTACAATTCTTTTTTTTTTTTCATGCCTCATAACTCCTCTTTCTATTTGGGTTATTTTTTCTGGGTTATATAAAAAGATTTCTGGTTGAATGGTGATTATAAGCTCTTTGAGATCACTCGTCTCTGCTATGACAGGGAAGCATCTGTCAGACGTAGGTGAGATTGAAAGGAGGCAGCAATCGATAACAGCATGGCAGCAGGCTGTCAGAAATGACTGCCCAGCACAGGCAATGCTTGACCTGTGCTTTGACAGATGAGGAGGTGTTTGTCTGATGCCCAGAAGAGATGGAGAAGAGTGAGGGCCTTTCAGCAAACGAGGGAGTTCAAAGAGAGGTATAAAATCCCAAACACCCAGGTACCTTGAAGAATCTGCAAGTAGTTGAAGGCACTGAATTGCCAAATTGACAGGGGCCAGATCACTGTCAACTCTCAGTGCAGTGCAAGGAGACTCGGACGTATTGTGGGCTTGGTTCCAGACCACCGCAAGAAAGCACATATTGCAATAGAGCTAGTCACAGGAGTCGTGGGCTTCCCCAGTGCATGTAGAAGTGATGTTTACACACAATGTAATCTATTGTGGGTGCAATCACATTATAAAAAAACATTAGAAATATTGTGAGAATGACCAAAAATTGACACTATGACATGAAGTGAGCCCATGCTGTTGAAAATATGGTAGACTCACTCAATGCAAAGTTGCCATAAGCCTCCAATTCGTAAAACAGGCAAGATCTGCAAAGCACAGTAAAATGAAGCACAGTCAGGCAAGGTATGCCTGGACGGAAGTAAATTTAATCCTGGACACAACAGAAGAAATCAGGCAGATTTAATAAGAGACATGTCATTATTAGATCAGTGTCCTATGAGGAAGAAGATAGAGGATAGGTTTCCCTGGGCCACCATGACAAAGTACCACTGGCTGAATCATCAGAATGAAAATTTATCCTCTCAAAGTTTGGGGGACTGTTGGGGATGGGGGTCCTCAGGACTTGAATGGGTTCTCAGGAGCGACTTTGCCATTATGGAAAATATTAACGACAGACAGCGGGGCACAGGGACTCCTCATCCCATGTCAGGACTGAGATGAGAGAGTGAATGTATTTTCCAATGGGTATATTGGGGGAAGGGGATGTACCTAAAAACCCCCAGAATGGCACTGGGCAGAGCCGAGCTCTTGCGCTACACATTTTTCCCTCTAGGCAAGCATCGAGCAGCTAGCTCTGAGTTAGTGCACCCAGTGGCGTCACCTGAGGAGGTTCTCTGGTCACAGTGCATTTTTTTCATAAAAGCAGTTTCATTTGAACCTCATGTTTTGTGATGGCCGATTTAAGAGAACAGTGTGTGGCTGTGAAATTTTGTTTCCTGTATGAGGAAAAATGCCACAGAAACTGTTGCTTACAAGGACATTACTAGAGGAAAACTCAAGTGTATGACTGGTTTTCTCATTTCAAAAAAAGATGAAATGTGGATCGATGACAAACCTCATTCTGTACATCTGTTACCTTCCCCAACGGACTAAAATGTTGACTTGTAGTACATTTGGAGTTCATTCCACTGGGTGAGACTTTTAATCAAACTTTCTATTTAGAGGTTCTGAAAAGATTGTGTAACTCTGTGGCAAAAAAAAGGCCTAATTTGTGACAGAAGGAGGACTGATTTTGCCACCATGGCAATGCACCTGCTCACGCAGCCATTTCAGTGTGCCAGTTTGGGGCAAAAAACAGCATGCTTCTCTTGCCCCATGCACCTTACTCACCTGACCTCTCTCCCTGCGACTTCTTTTTGTTTCCTCAAATGAAGAGGGACATAAAAGGACAGCGATTTGACTGCATAGACGAGGTGAAGAAAACGAGGGAGGTGCTGTCACCCATCCAAACAAATGAATTTGAAACCTGTTTCCAAGAATGGAATCTCAGATTTGACAAGTGTATTAAGTATAACGGAGTGTACTTTGAAGGTGATAAGGCTGTTTTGTAAAAAATTTAAAAACATAGTTTTGAAAAAAAAATTCCATTGTTTTTAGGTATCCTCTCATATAATGGGGCTTGCAGATCTTTCATAGGGCATGAACATCAGACAGCTAACATATTACATAGTCGATGGCTAACACTGTGGGCAGGTAACATAATAAACATAAAATGAGATGAGTCATCATCTTGACATAGTTGACCTCAGACCCCCCTGAGCCCTCCCCAGAAGTTTGCTACATTTTTAGACCCTGATGTCTCTACAGATAACCTCCAGGCACAGGGAATAGCCAGATGCAAATAGGAGACATCTTATATGGTAGCTCCTTTATGACAGTTTCTTTATGGGGGGGTATTTGGAAGGACTTTGTTTAGTCATGGGAATGTGTATTAAGATTTACTTATATCTCATAACCACAGGGTCTTCCCCCACCAGAATTGGCTTTCCAGACCCGCAATTATGAGCATAGATGATTGAGCTGCTTTGCATTCTCATCCATTCCCTCAGTTTCCCACAGGGGACT